ACACACACACACACACACACACACACGCACGTACTTGTCTTTTTGTGAGGACATTAAGCATAATGCATTCCCTAGTCCCTTCCCCTAACCTTAAACCACCACTGAATGCCTAACCCCAAACCTAAACCTGATTTTGACCCTAACCCTACAACCAGGTCCTAACCCTCAAACAGCCCTTTGAAGTTTTGACGATTGGCCAAAATGTCCTCGCACCGTTAGGTCCATAACTCAAACTGGCCCTCACAAGTACACAGATCATCTGTCCAAACACACACTGAACTGTCTGTCAGTGTACAAAATGACCACCAGTCATTCCTGACTGTCAACACGCAGCAATGTGACATCATTTAATTCTTCTTTTTGTTTCATTTTCTTCCTCCCACTCTCTGTTCATCCTCTGGTTTCTTTAAGTGCGCCAGCATCTCTCCCTCTTGTTCTCTCTGTTGTCTCTCTGAGGTTAATATCCTCTCTTTTGTTCTGTTTTAATCCGCCCTTTTTCGTTTGAGCTTTTATTGATTCACCATCTCTGCTTCATGTTGCTGTGCTTTTCATTTAAAAATTGCATTTTACTGGACCACTTTCTGTGGTCGCTGGATGCTAACAGACATCACGACAACCATTTTCCAATAGACAATTCCACCATATGCTTTTACACAGTACCCATAATCAAATGTAATATATGTATATATAGGCCTATTGAATCTCCATATATGAAATATATGTACATATATAATAAAGACTTATGTAAAAATTATATATTATACCTATTACAAATTGGAACAATTTCGGATATTGACATATATGTGTAGCCCACACAAATATGTATGTTTATGTATGTATGCTTATGTTACACAAATCTATCTCTATCCCAAAGGATGTCAGTATATGTAGATGTTATATACAATAGGGTTAAATAAGTCTGAAACCACTTTCCCAGAATGTGAAGATAGACATGTTATAAAATTAATGAGAAAGACGTTAGAAAAACATGCACAGTATAAGCATATAAAGTTTTTAAATGTATGTTGTTTTAATAAACTTACATATATAAATTAAATATATATTGTTAACAAATATGGTCACAGCATAGCATATAAAAATTCATCACATACATGTGTTTAATATATGTACATATACAAATTTTACTATGGGTATTCCATATATTTTATAAACTAACATCTTCATATATCCAGAGGACATCCAAAACTGTATTTCTAAGTTCTGCCTCCAAGGACTCACAACACTGGAACATGCAACTCCCTTTAAAATTTAGTTTTTTTACATTACAAAATTTTTCAATCCAGAATTGGCTCTTTGTCAGGCAACAATATAATATTTTAAAGGAGTATTCTGTAGTGTTGTGAGTTCTTGGGAAGCAGAAATCCCAAAATTCAGCCCAACTGTTTTTGGTATGTTTGGAAACTTTGGGCTCTCCTGTAGAATTTAAAATGTAGTTTAATAGTTCTGTAGTTCAACATCATGAGTTTGTGCTGACTGATGGGCTGGTTAACAGAATGGGCTCAAAGTGCTGTGCAAATTGAAATTGTGGTAATGGAATTAAATCATTTTCTTTTATGAGAATGTATTAGTATATTTGTTATCTAGGTGTTATTTTACTGAGGGCACTGATTTGATTTGGCATGAAGACTTATTTGTGCTGTCAAATTCATATTTTTTATCTATTATTTATGTACTTTATTTTCTCCCTCTTTATTTTTATCATTTTCATTTATTTTGTAAATATAATTCACAGTAATATCTAAATTAACAACTGTTAAAAATACAGTGAAAAACTTTATTTTATTAGTTAAGGCTGTCACTTGATTTATTTCATTACATCACAGTAACAATCCTATAATGTGTTATAATAATAAAGTGGATGTATAATAATGTGTATGTATTATTATTACTAATAGAAGCACAGTAGTAGGAGGTAATGAATAATTGTTGGCAGTAACCATAGTAACAATAGTGGGGTGTTTTAGCAGCAGGAGCGCAGTGTGAACCAGCCTGAAGATTGTGTGTTTGTGTGTGTGTGTGTGTGTGTATGTGTGTGTGTGTGTGTGTGTGTGTGTGTGTGTGTGTGTGTGTGTGTGTGTGTGTGTGTGTGTGTGTGTGTGTTTGTGTGTGTGTGCGTGTGTGTATGTGTGTGTGTGTGTGTGTGTGTGTGTGTGTGTGTGTGTGTGTGTGTGTGTGTGTGTGTGTGTGTGTGTGTGTGTGAGTGTGTGTGTGTGTTGCAGTGTCAGCAGCAGTGGCTGCTCATGCTGATGAAGTGCAGAGACCATAGGGCTCAGGAGGCCATCCATCATCTCCATCAGACTTAAGTGAGGCTCTCTGGATTGGGACACCACCAGAAAATGACCTGGGCCCACTGGTCTGAGCTGGATTAAATAAATGCCAGCCCCTTCATCATCATCCTCATCTTCCTGCTTAGACCCAATTTAGGTTCTTTTATAACATTGCAAATTAAACATCTACTAATCTAATTCAACTGTCCATGTAGCCGTGCATTCTGCAGATTAATGTTACAACTGATAGGCTGTGACTAGATGTTCCAGCATGACTCTTAGTCTAGTGCAGGTACATTAGCATCTCTGATGTGGCCATAAAATATGAATTCTAAACCTTTTCTATCACAAATGTGCAGTAACAGTCACTCCTTCCAGTTCAGGTCTAATCACTTAAAAAGACAGCTCTCCTAAATCCTAGAAAACAAATCAAGATGACCTTTTCCCTTTTTTTTCTTTTCTTTTTGTCATTTACTCCATTTATTTTTCTCAGTGGTGTTAAAGCCATCATTTGCTTAATTATAGTTAAAAGTAATTCATCAAGTATCTATATTGTGGAAATTTTCATTTCATGTCACTCTAAATAATTTTGTATTGCACTTTAAGCTTATCTGATTCATTGAAAAAAAAAAATTAGAATTGAAAAGGAAAACAACCGAACAGCTGCAGCACTGCCTCTCATGTATGGAGGACCAGGTATGTCACAGAAAAGTAAAAAGCATTTCCTTCATTTCATATTTTTATAGACTTTAAAAACAGGAATTGTAAAAAGGATCTTAAGGAACTTAATCCATCTATAAATACTTCAGATTTAAAAAAGGATTTACAAAAAAAACCCTGCATAAAGCAATCATTAAATAAACCATTTATAAATACATTTATCAATTCGTGAATAAATAATACAATTTGGAAAACTATTTGAAAAGGCATTTTAAAAATGGGAATTCAAACCTGGATTCCCTCTTCAGTTTTCCATTTCCTTTTCCTATTAGCTAATCAATTAGCTTAGTCATTTAGCTTCTCCTGTTGGTCTTTCTATGACACTCTGGGCCTCCAGTGCTGGTAAAACCATAAACAAATAGGAACAAATGGAGCTGCAGTTTTTGTGGATAAAAGGCTTTATAATGTTTATATTTTTTCAACCGAGTCCTTTTTATATTCAAGGGTTTATGATCTACGTGCAGTAAAAATAAAAGTTTGTTCCCCAGTTAATTAGAATGATAGTTTAGGCTGTAATCACTGCTTTGCATAAGGAGCTGCGTATCAACATTAAGTTTACATGAAGTGAATAAGGCTACATGATGGAAAATAATTCATTGTCATTAGGAATTGTTAAAACTAGTGAATAAAATCAATGAAATAAAATACATGGAATAAGATAGTGAGAGAAAGAAGTTAGCACGTGAGATGTAGCAGTAGTACAACAATATATAATTGTATAGGGCAGCTGTATACCGTATTATTGTTATCCTACAAATACAATGAGCTGTAACATCAATATATTATAATATTATAGTAGCAGCATTTTATTTGTGTTAACCTTTCCTGCTCCAGCTCCCAGGCCGTATCAGGGGGCACTGGGGAGACTTTGCTTTTCTTTTATCCACAAAAACTGCAGCTCCTCCGTGAACTTGTGCTTGTTTACAGAGCAGTCTTGCACGGACCAATATGGCACCGACATGGACGTACGATCCAGCTGTAATTTTGTGTGTGTGTGTGTGTGTGTGTCTTTTTATTTGCAGTACATAAACACCACCCAGGAATAAGTCATATTCACACACACACACACACACACACACACAGGTCAAATGTCAAAGGTCATATTTTGTCTAAAGAGGATTTACTCTTTTTTGTCTGTTTGATCTCAAACATGCTCGTTCTCTCTCGTTCACTCACTCACTCACACACACACACACACACACACAAATAGAATTGCAAAAAGCAGTGAAAAAATGACCCCCCGTGGTTTGTGCAAGCTATTTATTACAACCCATAGTTACATTTTATTGTTCATTAGGTTAATATGAGTGACCTCTAGTGGCATTGTGTAAGACAGAATCAGTTTCAGCAAAATAACATATGTTTATGTTCCGGTAACAAAGCCCTCTAGAAGCTGTAGTTGTTATAAACCTAACCCAGTTTTTTTTGTTTTTGTTTTGTCCCTAAATCTTATCAAATCTTTACTGCAGCATTGTATCATAAAAGAGTTTGATATTTATTTTTCCACAGTTTATCTGTGCCGTATCTCCTCCCACTGGTCAGGGTGCTCAACAGTCCTGTGGGTTGTGTCGTAGGGTCGGTATGAAGGAGTATTAGGGCCACCAAAAAAAAAACTGAATAACAAGAATGAAATCATAATATTCAATATTCATTATCAAAAAATAAAGTCGTAATTTGAGATAAAATCATAATATTACAAGAATAAAGTTGTAATTTTAGGTTCTGTGTTGATTTAGTGGAGAAACATCAGAAGCTTTAAAAAGAGGAAAGTGGAGCATCCTGTGAAGTTCTACTTTAGCAGAGGTTTTACAGATAAGGAGATATTTCATCTTTTGGCTCATCAACATCATCATCATCACCAGCATCATCATCATCATCATCATCAGGACATTGAAAAGCTTGTGAAGAAACTGAGTTTATTCTATTGTTAGACAGACAAACAGCAGCTGCCAGAAGCAGCTCAGGCTGCCACTGACTGTCCTTTCACCAGGTTTATTGGTTGATGTAATATTCCTTAAAATTGTTTTTCCTCTCAAAATTTTACATTTTTAATGATAATGATAATTTTGTAATATTACGAGAATAAAGCTGTAATACTCTTTCTTGTAATGTTATGACTTTTTGTCTTGTAAAATTACCCATTTATTCTCACAATACTCTGACTTTTTTTCTTGAATTCTCAAACTTCCGACTTTATTTTCAAATTTTCAGATTTCTTTTTTTTCCTCGATGCGGCCTAATACTCCCTCGTAGCTCGGGACTAACGACCTATATGGTCGTTTAGGTTGGCGGACTTAAAGAAGTCATTAACTTCAGTCAGACTGATACGTGTTCTGTTAGTGTCCCTTTTATTGAAGATGGGATCTGATTGGATTTTCAGTTTACATTTTACATCTGATTCCTTACAAGTAATTATATGCATATACTGTAGGCCTGTGTATTATTATTTTAATGAATATCATTAATTAAACATGTATTTAATTAATTAATTAATTAATTAATATTATTTTAGCATTAGTCATTAGCTACAGTAGTACTGCCGTCATCAATAAATGACTTCAGAGCTTAATATTGACAATAATGGATGGAATGAATCCCAGCATCACTCATTTATCAATGTCTCCTCCAAGCTTTACTGTTATTAATGACATTAACTCACATTGCCGTTCTTAAGAAACAAAATGCATATCTGAATCACCTTCAGTGAGCATGACAGGCCACAGGAGTGATGAAGGACCATATCTATCACTGGACTAAATGTTCAATGTGACAGATCCAATAGAATAAGTGATGCACGCTTTCTTTCTAAGCAGTGACTCTATTTCAGCCCTTTCATACCTCAAGCTGTTTAACTGCCAGTGTTTGAAACATGTCAGTAGAGTCAAGGACAGATTTAGTGAGTCAAATATTTGGAACACTTTCTCAATTCAGTTTGTGAGACATAAAGAAAAAAAGTACAGTACAGAAAGTGGACTTCCTTCATAATTTCTCAGTAAATCAGTGTGCATCATCAGCAGTAATGGATATTGAATAAAATGAATATTGAATGAGTTCAGCCATGGTAAGGTGTCCGTCTGATGAAAAGGCTTGGAACAGAATTTACTTGGATAAAAAATAAAATAAAAAAATAAATATGTGTTGGTATTGTAACTAGCTTTTCTAGGTTATGACATAAACTCCCTTAATTAGGTTTAAATACAAAACTGCCAAACAGCCACCCTGTGTGTTGCTATGGCTACATTCAGTGACCACTGTGACACTTAGCTACATGCTAGCTGCTAGCACTCGTTGGTATAAGCTACTAGCACAGAGTGACAATACTACATTCAGGTCGGATGGGCATCATTGTTAGATTTACTTTTAAAAAGCAAAGGCTGGAAGTATTTCATATATCTGACTTCAATTTCTCTTTAAAACCCTAATACCCTAGTAAAGCCTCTAGAACTATACACCAGTAGTCGCTGTGATGTTATAAAGTATCTATAAATCTGCATGTCCAAGTCAAATAGATGGATTACACTATCATGTCATCATGGCAGCAGTAGCTATGTTTTTATGGGCAGTTTTTCAAGGATTTTTCAAAAGAGTGGAAGCCTATGACTTCCACAACTAAAGCTAAACTTTTGGTAACTTCTGCACAGTACATGTGCATTGTGCAAAAAAAATATGAAATTATACATGTATTATTTTTTAAAACACAAGAACTTCAAGAACTTGCACTGTCACCCACAAACCTCAGCCAGTAGTATCCCTGTATCCCTTCATGACAATTCAAGAGCCAAAATGACTGAATGGCTTGATGAAAACTCTAATTTTTTGCACTTAATATGATCTTTCTCTGCACTTGACTTCAGCAATTTCAGTGATTATGATACTGCAATTAGTCAGGTCCATCACCAGACCCTGACTTTCCAACTACTATTCACCATTTCCTGCTACTGTGCTCTACTTGCTGCATAAAAAGCACATCTCCTCCACAGCAGAAACTCATTTGGACAAAAGCTCCTACAAAAATTTGACTATCAAATTGACTATGAAACAGGACCCAATGTATGTGTATGTGTCAATGTAACTGAGGACGTAGTTGGAAACTGTTGTGGAGCCGCTGTAAACCACTGACATCATGGTGTCGTATTTGCATTCTGCCCGGTGTCAGCCGGTTTCAGCCCTTCATCTGTCCCTCTATTTTTGTGAATGAAACCCGTCTACAAACAGAGCAGCACAGGCAGCCTTATATGCCAATTTCAGGGAAACTGTAAAATGTAAAATCTCACGTGCATGCACCTACTCATGAACAGGTGACGCTCATCGAGCTGAAAAGAGCGATTTACAACTTTTTTGTGCAGGACAGAGAAAGATTTAGGACAAGGATACATTGTTCTTCTGGCTGAATCTTGACACTTGGACATTCTGGTTGTCACCACTGGAAAATGTATCAAGGTCAGCTGATTTGTTAAATAGTTCCAAAGTAGCTTTGTCAGTAGTTGCATTGGTAAATACTATTTTAATGAGTAATCTCATGTTAGCCTTGGTCCTGTTGCGTCACTTCCTACAAGAATGGGGGGGGGGGTCAGTCTTTGTCCCACTGGTGAATGAGAAGCAGCTCCAGTCCCATAGGAAATCCACAACTGTCCCAGCAACTGTGACGGGCTGAGGGAAGGGCTCCTCTTCCTCCTCGATTCTCCACCAATCAGTAGTCCCCATCTGTCAGTGCAGTGTCAGAGCTCGTCTTCATGCTCATCTTCTTTGCAATGACTTGCTTTTAAATTCATTTCAGATGATTTCACACCTTTGATTAAACAAAATTACTAGCGTACTAGCACAGTTCCGTCTCACAGTGAAGTGGCGAATTTTGTTTGTTTTACTTTTAGTAAGATTTATTTGTTGTTATATTCCTTGAAGGACATGGAAATTGTTAAAATGCATTTCCACAATGTTCCACGCTTTCCAGACATCCCAATCACCAGTTCCTGTTCTTCAGTGCAATATGAGCATTTATACTGGACAGCTTGTATAGATGCAGCTACGCAGCCACATGGCCAATCAGGTATATGTTGTCATAGAGGTGGCCTACGAAGTCATCTGAGACATTATGTGCTGCTCGGCGAGTGTTTCTGATAAACTCCCTCTTAGACATTTTGTTTTTGACGTGGGGGCTGGTCAGGTCGATGGACAGCAGGATCAGACTGTAGCACAGCACATACACAGCATCTGCAGAGAGATGAGAGGAAAACAGAATCAAACACAACTGTTTTGAATTCATTTCTAGCATGTTTCATGGGGACAACTTGCTAAAATGTGACGCCAGTCTCACACTACAAAACAATGCTTGAAACCTCAAATTCAGCTACTTAAAACCAAAATAATACAGCAAGAGGAACCACCAGAAAAGGGAGACAAAAGGACCAATAAAAGAAATAGTGTACTATACATAAGACTTTAAATTCTGTGGCTCAGAAGGTGGAGCAGGTCGTCCACTAATCAGAGGGTCAGCTCCTCCAGTCCGCATGTCGAAGTGTCCTTGGGCGAGATACTGAAGCTACTTTCACCTGATGTTATATTAAGGGTAATTTGGGGCTGTGAGTTTTGGTATGTGAGTGTGTGCATATTGTAGAACTTACTTAAGTATGTTTTTCCAGTATCTGTAATTTACTTGAGTTTTTTTTTTTTTTTTTTAAACTTCTGACTTCACTTAAAAGACAAATATTGTACTTTTGACTCCACTACATTTCTATGAAGTACTCTTACTTTGAAGCAGAGCTTTTAGTCAGTGTAGTGAATTTTATTTTGATTGGAAAAATTGATAGACCATACACTGTTCATCACAGGAGAAAATGTTTGAACCTGTCAGTGTCATAACGATGGCGATGTTAGATAAAGATGAGGCAGAAGATTCTTCACCAGAGGCTGATCTGAAGTTTGTGTTCGAAGCTTTCGAAATAGAGAAAGATTAATTTGGTGTGAAATGTTTGTTGCGTTTACAAAAACCAAACTTCATCACTGACCAAAAAAAAGAAATACAAAAATAACAATGGCTGCTTTTGTTGATTCAATTGTTATTATGTCCATGTCTTCAGTCTTTCTATCATATTTCTATTTTATTCTACAGGTTCTACAGTCAGTCAGTCAGTCAGTCAGTCAGTCAGTTGCTTTAGAGTCATTAGGTTCTGTACATGTGAAACAATACAACAATGTGTTGACATAAAAAATGTACTTTTGATTACTTCAGTATTTTGAAAATCAAGTACTCCAGTAGTAAAAATCTGACTGAACAACTTTCACTTGTATAGCAGTAATATGTGACCAGGAGGATCTGTACTGTAACTCCAGTGATGGAGCTGTGGACTTTGTCTACCTCTGGCAGAAAAGCGCCAAATGAATATGTATGAGTGGGTGAACAAGCTTGTACTGCAAAGCACTTTGAGTGGTTGATAAGACTAGAAAAGTGCACTCCATTTACCATTCTTATGTCTGAGGCATATGATGAATAAGACAGACAAACGTGTACAGTGCTACTAATACACTCTAAATTGTTCTGCACTGCTGTGCTCAATCCTTCCCTGGGGGGGTGGAGGGGCAGAGTAGCAGTGAAATGAAAAGGCAGCCATCCGTCCATCTGTAGCCCTGGAGCCATTACTCTAATCCTACTAGTGCTGCTAATCATACAAGTAGGTCCAAGGATTTAACAGTAACAGAGTCAGGGATTGGTTTCTGTATGGTCTGCTGACATTAACAAAGCTAGTCAGTTGATAAATGCATGGTCCATTGACAACACTGAAGCCAGGGATTACTTGATAATAAAACCTTGATGGTTTCCCTCATTTTGTGGTTGGGTAAATGGATCAGAAGTGTAGTATAGCTTTAAAATCACTTCTACTATCACAACAGTGGCTAGGGTTCTAGCTGCAGGGTTGAAGAGTGGTAATGTCTGGGTAGGGTCAGGATTGGATGTTAATGGTCCAGACAGAGGATACTGATCCCCTGACCTCTCCTGCAGAATCAGCATCAAGTCAAAATATCAACCTACAGGCTCCATCAGAAACATTAAAATCTTAAGAATTCACTGAATGTACTTATGTTCTCCACTGATTTAACAATCTAGTGTTCTGAAGTCTGTTATGAAGCACATGGTGCACATACATTCAGGTTGTGTCCAGATCCACTTTTGGGAGTTCAATCGTGGAAAAAGCAGCTGGACTAGATATGGATATGGATTGAGCACACACTCTCCCTCTCTCTCTCTGTTCACCGTCCCATTTTACCCCATTGCCCCTGGGACAAACGTTTTATTTACATCCTTGAAAAGCGAGCAGGCTGAGAAAACCCACACCCCTCCGTCTGCCTGTGATCTCCCCCGCTCTGCTTTAATATCGGCGGAGCACCGACACACAACATCGCGGTCGGAGTTGCTTTGGTCTGTGTGTGCTCAGATTGGCGCAAGTCCATTTATAAACAGCGCGTGTGCTGGATGAGAAAATGACAACTGCGTCTGAAACTGGTAAAGACGCCGCTCCGCGCGGGTGTAAGATGGAGCCCAAAGCCTCTTTCATATGGGACAATCCAAGAGCTGTCCTCTAGCGCCGCCTTCAGGCCAAACTCTCACTGTGTAAGTGGATGATTTTAGCTTGTTACCATACTGTCTGTATATGATGGCTGATAAGTCGTGGGAAATTGCAGTAAAGGACATATATTCAGTGTAATATAGAAACAGTGTCACCAGAGACTAAAGTATAAAATATCCTCTCAGAACGCAGCATGTTAGTCACTGTTCTTTAATAACCAAGCCTCATGTTGTTCAAGTGTTTCACTGAGGTCTCTACAAAAGCAAGATATGACAGACCGGTCTGTGGTGTTGGTCCAGTCTTCATTCTGCTCATAGATCAGTCTGATGTTAGTCAGACCACAAAAATAAAAACTGACTCCTTTTAAATTAAAATCATTACACACCTTGAGTTGGTTTCACAAATACAGTCTTTTTTGCTGTGTCTTAAATAAAACAGACTTCAGATTGACTGAGTATAAATTCAGTTTAGTTCTTGACTGTCTTAAGACAGACTGTGGTACAATGAATTCAGGGTACATTTCTTCATTTACCCCAGTACAAAATGTCTGTCTTTAGGAAGAATTCTACAGTTACAAGGGTTTAGGAAGAGTGTAACAATAAAAAGAAAAATCTGATTTGGTCTCTAAAACTCTACTTGTTGTTGGGTGCTACTGGTCAGTGCAGGTGTCTCCGACTGTTACCACGGTAACATTGTTCTTAGACCTGAGTTAGCCTGGCGTAAGGTGTATAATGTTTTTGGCTTAAAATGAGTCAGTCTTTATTCTTGTGAAACGGTCTGACTGACATTAGACTGGATCAACACTACAGACCAGTCTGAAAGATCTTTGTGAAACTGGCCCCATAACCCCCGGCTAACTCAGGTCTAAGACCTATGTTACCATGGTCACAAGGTAATCAGTGATACCTGCACTGAGCAGTGGCACCCAACAACAAAAAACAGGAAGATATGGCTCATAATTGTGGTTTGTTAACATTGTTATGCAGCAAGCAAAGACAAGGGAGCGAGTTTTTAGAGACCAAATCAGATTTTTCTTTTTATTGTAAGTAAAACATCCTTGTACCTCTTGAATTCTTCCAAAAGACAAACATTTTCTGATTGGTAAACAGAGCTGAGGCTCTGGGGCTCCTTAGTTGGCCATTTTGTTTTATTTTGAAAAAAAGTTTTAATTTACCAAGAATTCATTGTACCACAGTCAGGCTTACCATGGTCTGACTGTTTGTCTATCTAAGACACAGTCAAACCGGCCCCTGGGAATAATAAGCACGGATCATTCTTTTTTTTCCATTTTTGCTCCGTGGAAGTTCAGGCAGTTTGTTTAAAATTCAAAGTTTTGTTTTAAACAAAAAAAACTAAAAAAAAAACAGGGTATTTCCGTTTACTCATTTTAAATCAAAAATGAAAAAAAAAAATGGAAAAACAGAGACAATTTTCAGTGTTTCTTGTCCAAATCAAAAAACAAAGTAGAAAAAACAAACACCAAACATCCATTATGGTTGTCATTCTAGGTCAGAATGACAGCTGTTAACTGTTATAGATATCAATGCCATTACTGTATCTGAATGCAAAAAAAAACATGTGTAGTTTGCTGAAGCCCATAGGAGGCAGTAGACCAGCCCCAAGGCAGCGGGACATCACCTCAAGTGTCATGACCTCTATCAGAAGGTAAAGCATTGCAAAATATGTACCTATTACTTATTATGTGGATTAGTATGCAGATAATATCAGTCAGATGATGGACTGTACACTGACTCACTCCCTGCCGTGGCATCTAACTGTGGATATCACTGTTAATCCTGCATCACATGTCTGTTACAATGCTCTTATGCTGCTGCTACAGCACCAGTCTGTGGCCTCAGACTTGCCCCTGGTGCTACTGCTACAGCCCCGCAGTCTTTCCTGTGGTCCCCTCCCAGTTTGTCAATAATGAATATTTTCATAGTCATTGTTTTGTACGATTAATTTTGTATTTGTTGAATCAAGAAATTTACTCTGTTTCCTCTTTCAGTTTATGACATCACACTTTGATGGGTCACAGCCTGCCTCACTGAAGCCCAGTTTCGTGACAAGGAAGTCTCCCAGCCCTTCTCTTTCTCCAGGACCCCCAGGCTGCTCCAATCCTCTGTGAGGATCCTGTGCCCTGCTGTAAATACAGCATCTATTCATTGGTCTGGCTCTATTTAAGTAATCTCTAGTGTTGCTTTTATTTATGCAACTTGAATATCCTCCTCATGGTTGTCTGCCTCCTCCACTCAGACTAGTTTCAGGTTACATCCCTGTTCATCCACAGTCAAATAAAATATGAACAATTTGTGTTCAAATTTTGTCATAATTGATGTGTGAAGTCTTGAGAAATGACTAAAAAATGTTTTGTGACTGACCCTGAAGTTCCGCGGCGGCGTTACTGACATTTAACCCGACTGTGGCCGGCACGGAGGCATAAAAATAATAACTAATTCTTATTAGCTGTTGTCTTCCAAACTGGAAGAAATTCAGCTAGCTACTGTTTTGAGGCAACAACTTCAATTTACTTGCTGGGTGAGATGAGGAACAACCAGTGCAAACACATTGAATTTGCAGTTGTACCTCCTGAAAGGCCTCAACAGTTGGAACCAGAACTGGGGGACTACAGCAGTGACTAGCAAGCTGTCATCTGGCCTCACCTACTCTCGGGACATGACCCACGATCAGAGCTAGAGCTGATAAACACCTGTGACAGCTGCAGAGTCTTTCACCTGGGAGTGAATACTGATTGTAACCTTACACACTGATGGCAAAAGCCCGATGTTAGCAGGTGTTAGCAGGTTTTTTTTAAAGTAACATACAGTATGTGATCAGTATATTTATTGTATGTGTGTGTACGTACTAACCAGGACTGAGACCCAGCTCTCGGACAAGACCTGGATTACAGGTACAAAACCTGTGGCTGAACTTGGTGATGAGGGTCTCCAGATACTCTCCTCTCTCCTCTGGTGCATGGATGTGTCTGAAGAAATCCCGCAGAGCGTTGGGGAGGAACTGGTTACTGAAATTATGGAGGGTCACCAACTCATCCAGGACATCCCGCCTGCATGTACACAGACATACACAAATAAAGACTTAATAGCATGATAGATGATATTTCAATTAGTTAATGAAAGTGGCTGAATTATGAAATGTGGAAAGGAAAGTGACACCAGTCAATGTATCTTTGATTTCATAGCAGATACACTAAATAAACACCGCCACACAGTGAAATAATTTAACCACTTACAAGTTGATTTACATTTAACACTTTACTAGGTTATGGCCTGGTTTTAGACTTTCTTAGGGCAGAAATGCTTCCATTGTAAACATGTAAACTTTCCATCATAACAAGCGGTTGTGGAAGTTGTCTGGTTTTCTGTGTGTATCTTTGTATGTCACCTCTCATCCAGGTAAATCCTCAGCATCTTCCAGTTGAGGCGTCTAGTGTAGAAGATGAACTTCGCCAGCTCGGTTGGATGATCCAGTAGTATACCTTTAGACATAAAATAACTGATACCCTTCACACACACACACACACACACACACACACACACACACACACACACACACACACACACACACACACACAGATGCTCAAAATGAGGACATCATCAAACATGCAATTTTGTCGTGACATCATTGTCCCAGACACAAACATGTGCAGAAACTAGAAATGAAACAGTTATCAGTCTCACCCTAAAACACAGTAAAAATTCCAGACGGTTAGGGTTACAATTTAAATTTGAATTATGACTATAACTATGCTTAATTACCATAGTTAATTACTGTGGTTAATTTGACTGCTGTTGGGTTCTGTAAGGCATCAACCAGCAACAGTCTCCCAGACGCATGTGCAGCAAAGCAACATGGGTTTATTATGTGTCAGTCAAAACACGAAGAAGGCAGTGACGGCGCTGCTCTGGAGATTTTTCAGCCTCTAAAACCTTTTTACGCTAAACTTAGCAGGTATAAGCAGGTTTTTAAACACAGGTAAACCCACAAAAAAGTGACTGATTGATTGACTGATTGATTGACCCCTTTTCCACTGCCGGACGAGTTTGCCTTTCTGTTTGGAGCAATGTCATCACATGCACTTACAGAGCACACACACAGACACAGGGCAGAAACAGTGAGCTGCTAGCCGCCGTGCAAACTGGATAAAATGGATCTGTCAAGTCTCATCCCCAGGTTGGTGCTCCTGTCAGTGTCAGAGTCTCTGTGTGAGACGCTTCAGTCAGTGACTGTGTGTTTTTAAACTTATTTCAGGGCTTAACAGCACCATGCTGGACAAGTGACAATTGCGTTTACAGTGTCTGTGCTCTGAAAGACGTCACAGCAGGACAATAACAATAATAATACATTTTCTTTTCCCTTGTTCACAGAGTGGACATGCAGCAGGCAAACCCAGTAATGTTACTGGTCCCTTGTCCTCATCTGTGACACAGGTGTGTTGGACATGTTATCCTTCTACTAAGTATTTATTTGTGGTTTCCTTGAAAAAATATTTTCAGCACATTTTAACAACACCGTGATACTACTAATGAAACTGGTAATTTTGGTCACTATAATTGTGATATAAAATTTTTAGACTGTTTCTTCTCTAGCACAAATTTAACACACACAGCACACAAACATGGCAGAAACGCTGAGGTAGTGTACATCTATGGGGCAGGAGATCTGGGATGACTGGGTATGCGTTACCTCCTGCGGGTTAGCATTGAATGTCAGGCTGCCTTCATCCAGCTGTAGGTATAGTCTTCTGTAGGAGAAACCAGCAGGTAGTCTTCTGTTGTAGATGGAGCAGTGTCCCCATGTGGACTTACAAAGCCTGATGGATCGACACACATGGGTTATAGCACAGAAACAAATAAAAAAAGAACACAATAGAACTTTACCGTATTCGCAACTAATAAAGACAGCAGCTGATAGGGACAGCTGTGGAGTCAGTATTTGGCAAAAACATGCCATTCATCTTCGACACCTTGAACCTTTTGTCTATCTTGAGTCTATCTGTCATCAATTATTTTGTATGTCAGTACAAATCACAACTGTTGTTGCTGCTGAGAAAGATTTCTGGTCACCAAGAGGCATTTCATCAATTCACTACCTCATTACTTTAATCACCACAAACAGATGACGCTCCTTACCCCTGCCATAGATATTCATCATTTCCCAGGTCCTGCCACACACAGCCGGCCAGGCACAGATCAGTAGCATTCAAGTACGACAGTATGGTGATGCCTAATTCAGGAGGCAGCATCTCCAAATCTATAAAACCCTGCTGCTCTTTGCCTACAGGGAGACCAGAAGAGAGACAAACATTTAGATTTACTTTCTATTGCTTCAACATGGCTCACAATGTAAATTGTATTTAAAACTAGATGTTGTCCTGATCTCAGAGTGATATGTGATGTGATATATATTGTTACTAGAAGCTTAATATGGCAGTTTTGAAGCCTTTTGTTGCATTCTTCTCCACTTTCTCCCCGACTTAGTAGTCACCAATTTCCATTGTGTACAACATCACAAACATAATCATTCATTGCAGGTAGGTGACAGTGACATTCCACCTGCCCAACCCTGAGATGATTCACACAATCTGAAAGAGAGATATGGAAAACCGACCCAAACCAGACATGCATGAATCAAATTTTTATAAAAAAGTTTGGATGATGTCATGAAATAGCATGGGATCATGGGAGTTGTTGTCTTCAGTGTCATTAAGCTCCTCCCAGTTCAGATTCCTTCAGTGTCAGTGGTTCAGGAAATCAAACAGATCCAGTGTTTCTAACTGTTAGAAACACTGACTAAAGCAGTTTGACATTTAAAGTCAGTGTTTGAGCGACGCTGTACGGAGGACAGAGACTCAGGGAAGAGCTGGAGCTGAGATTGATGCTAACCTTTGTTCTGATTGTTTCTCTGATAACTTATGAAGCAGACGTTCAGCAGGTTTTTACAAGCAGCTGAATTCACCACAGAGGTGTCCTGATAGAAACATTGAAAAAAGCAGTTTCATGATGAAAACCAGTGATTCGCAGATGCTCTTCAGTGACACAGGACAGGACGTCTCCAGCAGCTGGGAGCTGAGCTGTCTAACATTTCCTCAGCTTGTTTCTCTGATAACTTCAGATCCAGACGTCCGACGACTAAAATCCTTCATCTGGTTCAAATATAGAGCTGAAAACCACCAAGGTGTAAAAAGAGTATGGGAATTAAAACTAGATAAAAGTCAATTTTAAGCTTCTGTCAGACAAACACACTGACACATGATCATAGAGGATATGATGTCATCAACAAGCGACCAATGAAACATCCCATTAGCATGACGTTTCTCTGGTTTGAGAATTGATGGAAACATCTGGGATAATGTAAGAACACAACTCAGAAGTGAAAGAAGTGTGGTGAAGTGTTTTGCATGAAAGAGCGGAGACACGAGCGATCTCTGGAATTATCCAGTGAAAGTCTGTCACGTACAGGCAGAGAAATGCACAGTTTTCAACCGACTAGCTCGTAGTTTCCCTGTCGTTGCTCGTGGGCATTTTCTCTTAGAAGAACAGGACCATCTTGCTGTGAGGTGACACAGCTATGAAGTAGCAAACAACATAAATCCTAACTGAAGGAATTTCTTTCTGAGGCAGCTGACACTTAGCTGGTGTGCTAGGGGCCTTGAACAAGCACTCAAGAACGACTCTGTTGCCTCACATCTGCTGTTGAACACACTGCAAAGACTGCAGCAAATGGCTAGCTGACCAATTTAAACTCCTGTGCCTTGGTGGAGTTGTTGAACTTGGTTTAAATTTAACGTCTTATATGTACCATAGCAGGAGTAGACATGTTGCTTGCACTAATTTAATCTAAGCTTTGAAATCAATTGAAGTAATAGCTTCTGCTGTAGGTAGGAAACCAATGGCTTTTTTTTTCTAACCATGCTGACTGTATGGACACATCATCAGAAATAATGGAAAGGAACGAAAGCAATCCAAGAACACAGAACAACGCAAGAATACATAATAATAATAGTGATACAGAGAGTTAGTAGTAGCTATGCCCTTAGTGTTAGCTTAGTGTTTGAGTGTCCGTACCTCCCCTGCGTGTTCTCAGCAGATGGTGGATGTCAGTGCCATAACAGTGCTGAGGAGCTCTTCTTTGGGGACCTCCATCTCTCCGTAGGAAATTAAAGAAGAAAAAAACAAAAGACAAAAAACAAAAATCTTAATAACTGTCATCCTTACTGCTGTGTGGCATTACAGGGAAGTTGGAAACTATCCCAGCTTGCATCGCGGCTAAAGACTAATAAAATATTGTCATCATTGAATTTATAAATAACTAACTATATTCCAATATTAATTCTATATTATATATACTGTATACACTTCTGGTCAAAAGTAATGGAACACCTACATTTTTCCAGATGTTCTTTACATTTACATGGTTCTGAAAGTCCTAAAAGTGATATTAATGATGAAAAATATAAGGATTACCTTGCTCTCGCCTTCCTCCTCCTTGGTCAGCCAGTCGGTCGGCTAGCTCTTCCTGAAGCTGTTGCTGTTGTCTGGGAGGCAGCCTCCACAGTGCCTGACCCATCTATATGGTAGCACAGTAACACAGTGCAGAAATGGTACTGAGATGATGAGATACATAATAATGTGCTGTATTACCGAATGTATCTACCGAGTCTGAGACATATGTAAAATGAAATGCAAAAACAACCATTCCAACTGAAATCGCAATCACAATATCTGCCAAAATAATCGCAATATAATTTTTTTTGCATATCATGCAGCCCTAGTTGGTAAACTGTACCTGCACACTTTCCCTGTAGTCCTTCTCATTTATACTTCCCAGCAAAAGTACTGCTTATGATCAAAGGGTGTGTCATAAGCACAATTAGACAACTGCTCGCACAGCAGCATGTTTACAAGACGTAATCAGATCACATTTGTATCATTTATGTAGGTGCAAATAAAAATATCTTATATTCATTTGACTAATCTATTTAGAAAACATCTAATCCATGTTTCAGTCTTTGATTTAGTAGCAAGGCAGGAAAACAAGTTATATGGTGACAAATTATAAGTCAGCACAGGATACTTGTCGCTGTGATCGTCCATTACTGGCAACTTCATAAAGAAGGAAAATCCATAGACAGTGTGAAACTAAGTCAGTTCCAAAAAAACAGAAACATTGTAACTGAATATGATCACAAATAAGTTAATACTTATATCCAGGACACTGTGCATGTAATCATATTCTATATCCACTGGTCTTCAAACAACATGGGCTAACCACTGAGTATAATGTAACAATACATTGTCTTAGATCGTATTTTTCATGCAATCCACTAGTGACTTAAACAAATCAACACGTTTTGTATAAAATCTGCCAAACAACTCTAAGCTCTGGTGTTTGAGATGATGATGTATCTGTCAACAAAATAGAGTTACCTTTCACTGACACAAATCAAGTCAGATTACATTTGGGTCACTTAAGTGTACATATTTGTATTGTATATATTTATATTTTTCTACAATATTTATTCACATTTTTATTGTAAATATTTTATCATATTGTTAAATTTTCTATTTATATTTAATATATCTGAACTGCAGTACTGGCTTGTTTTATCGTTGCTTATATTTCTTTTTTTCTTACTATGTTCAAATTCCTTGTATGTTGACAACCTATTTGGCAATAAACCATTTTCTGCTTCTGATTCTGATGACAACTTCACTGCTCTTATATTTCACTGCATTATGTTCTAGTAGAAAGAGCTGCTTATTACCTTGCTTATTAGATGAACATTTTTAAGGGTCAAGTGGGGTAAAGAAGATGTGAGGACGTACTGGTTATATGCATGAAGCACTCTGGGATTAGATGCTGTCTCTTTCACTGAGTCTGTGTTTTTATAGCTCAAGTGACATAAAATTGTTTGCCTTAAATGTGTTAATGAAACAAACACACACACACACACACACACACACACACACACACACACACACACACACACACACACACACACACACACACACAGCTAACTGGACTGTAACTGAAAAATCAAGTTGAAACCACTGACATACAGTATGCATATAGCCAAACCCTGCTTACACATCAATGTCAGCATCTATTTAAAGCGTTGTCAGAGCTCCGATTAACTTTAAATTAGCTTCGAAGGATAATCGATTTAGTGTGTGCGAGAAAACAAAAAAGTAATCACTGTCCAGTCTTTTTAATGTACTAACTGACCAGCCTTCCCCTCTCTCAGACTGCCTAACGTCAGCTGTGTTGCACAAACAAATCCATTACAACGTTGAAAACATCAGCGCTAGAAGTTCTAACCAACAAGGTAGTTCGACCGGTAGTCCCGCCTTCCCTTCAATACCATTGGTCACACGGAACACGACAGCATTCCAAATGAAACGCCATTGGTTGAATCGCTCTTCACTCACAATCAGTTGCTACAAACACCCGAGTTAGCTTACTGAGCTACTTTAAGTTGATGAAGCGAGTGTCGACCCAAGCAGGGTCTTTATACCGCCCTAAACAACTACACTTATCATGTTTCTCTTACAAGCACTATACAGTATTTCCAAACGAATACGAGACAGTGGCGCAACCCGGGCTACCTACCTGAGTTTAGTGATTCCTCTGACAACCCGACCTGCACACAAGGACAGCTGGAAATGTGATTTCCCTGCTATCAAACTTATCCTGGTGTCATTTCATTTAGCCAACTACAAACAAAAATAGAACAGTTGCTTCTTTTGTTCAGGAGGAAGCTTCCATACCGTAGTCTATTGCCAACACAATTATTATCTGTTTTCTCCCTCCTCCTGTCACCTCTGCCCCTCCCCTTCTCTCCCCTGTCATCACAGAAACTGATGAACTGAAAAAAAAATCAGCATTTTACAATAATGAGTGAAACGCATCCACTTTCTATGAAAATATAAGCTGCGTATGATAAACTGATAAACAGAACGAAAAAAGCAGAAAGCTCTGTGTATACAAGCTACGTCATGACGTCAGCTCGTTCTTATACGTGAAAAAACGTGTTGGTATGTTTGTGGAGAGTCATTGAGTAGACAGTTCTTCTGGGACTGTAAACCTACCTATCAATTTTGAAGATTGGGTGGGAAGTATTATTATATTATATTGGTGAAACGAATATCCTAATAGAGAAGTGCTCTCACAAAGATATTAGGGAATACTCTTCGTTATGTTATTATCGCATCATCTTAATGCTTTTGGTCTTACGTATTTAGTGATATACAGTGGGCAAGGCAAGTTTCAGATAAATATTTTATCAATAGCAAGTGTAAGTCTTTCAAGATATTGCATAGAATTTATCTGATTAAACATATGTTAGAAAGATCCAAACTGCATATTGACTAAAAGTGTGATTTTTGTGGTCTAGAAAAAGAGAATATTTCCCATCTATTTTTTTTACTGTATATTTACAAAGTTCTGGATTGATGTAGCCAGTTTTCCAAATATGAAACTAAAAGTGAATATTGAAATAGTTATGTTTTTTGTTTTTTTTTATCATGATTTTATTTTATTTGGTAAAGCAAGATAAAGACAAAGAAAGTGATAACATCACAAGACATAACATAACAAGACATAACGAGACGTGACATAACAAGACATAACACAACTTAACATAACATAACATAACATAACAACATAACATACATAACATAGCATAACGTAACACAACATACATAAAATGACATAACATAACAACATAACATATATAACATAACAACATAACAACATAACATAACAAAACAGCATTCATAACATAACATAACAACATAACATATATAACATAACAAGAAATTATAACAACATAACATACATAATATATCAACATAACAACACAACATAAATAACATAACAACATAACATAACATAACAACACAACATATATTACATAACATAACAACATAACATAAAAACACAACATACATTACATAACATAACAACACAACATACATAACATAAAAACATAACATAACAACATAACACAACAACACAACATAGATAACATAATAACATAACATACCAACATAACAACATAACAACATAACATGATGGCATACACTACTACAGAGAACAACTGACAGCTTTTTGTTATTGCTATAGATACATTCTATGTATATATATATATATATATATATATATAAATTTGTTGAGCGAGAGATACAGAGAGAAAAACAATATATATATATATATATATATATATGAAATAAACAAATAAGGTGGTAGGTATTTATTTATTTATTTATTTATTTATTTTCCTATTCTTTCCAGGTAGAAAATGGGTACTTGGGGTTACATGGGAGGGTGGGGGGAATTGGGAGCATCCATTGGTTGGAGAAATGTGCCATAATTGGGAGTTGAAAGTTGTTTGGTTTGTTAGTTTGTTATGGTCCGTTGATACAGGTGGGGAGATGGGATTGGTTTGGTTTGATTTGGTTTATGATTTAAAAGTTATGTTTGATGTAATGCTATATATTTGTCAAGATAAGATTGAAAGTGACATGTATTATATATGATAAAACATTTTATTATTTTTGGAAACATTTGGGAAATTCCATATTCATAAGAAAAATGGTTAAGAACCAAATCAACTTTCCTGCACTTTATTAAAGAAAAGGATCACTTCATCTGATGTTAAAAACAAAAAAGTTATTAAGACTTTAAAACTGTTGAATGAATATGCATATTACACAAACTCTGGCTTTGTTACATATAAAATGTAATTTTTTATATTAATTTAATATTTTTGTTTGTCATTGTCTTTTCTTTTATTGTTTTATCGTCTATGTGTATGTTTGTACCTTTGTATATGAACGTCTGTATAATAAAGAAAGTGGGGAAAAAAATGAGCACACAGTTCTAAGGATTCAGGGACTGAATGTTAAGGGGACAGTGAATAAAATAAAAATAGGCTAAATAAGACACTATTTATATTGAAGAAAGTAAATTCACAATTATGTGCACCTTTCAATATACCTGAAAAGCCTATAAAGCACTGTGTCAAATATAATGAAGAAAGGATTGCAACATGTGAGGGAGGCCTCATAAGGATCAAATAGAGATAGGGTGTGTGTGAAACTCAGAGAGGAGTAATTGATTTCTTAGTGAACACTTGATTGTTTAATATAATGTAGTGTTTCACTTATTTATTTATTTATATTTTTTAATAGACTCAAGTAAACTACATCCTGTTGTACATACTCCAGTATGGTAGGTGGCGGTCATGCATCTAAAAGTTGGTATTGTACTCCGCCAAAAAACTAGAAGTGGCAGCAGCAGCAGCACCAGCACTAGAAGAAGAAGAAGAAGACGAAGAAGCAGAAGAAGAAGCAGAAGAAGAAGAAGGAGGAGGAGGAGGAGTCTGCAACAGCCAATCCGGCTTCATGCCGTTGACCACCCGGCAGAAACAAACCTACCCGCTGGTGTTGGTGTTGGCTGCAAAGAATCTGTTTTTAAAGAAAAGTATCCGGCTTATTGTATCATCGTCGTCTTTATCTGTGTTTCCAAAACAGACAGGTTTGTAACGTTTTTTGTAGCTAACTGTAAAGTCGGCTAAAACATATAGCTAGCTAATGTTTTGATAAATGAGCATTAGAAAAGACGTTTAGGTTGGCGCTTCTCTCCCTTGCTTATAGATAAAGATGCTGTCTACTGGAGACGTTCAAGGCTGTCTTCGTAAACTGGAAACTCTGCTGCGGGTGATTAAGTACCCAGGATGTGTCGACTATAATGGGTAGGCCATTGAACAGCCAGTAACACTTCTTTACGGACACGCAGGCCCCTTAAGTAACAGTATCAAACGACATACCACTTTAATAACAAAACAGAAGCTCGGCAATCCTACTTAAATTCACCAATAACAATCAGTGGTAGGAGCTCTACCACCACAAGTTAATATTTAACTAACCGAGCATAAGGTTACTAGAGTACAGATGGGGCCAGACTAAAGGGAAAAGGGAATAAATGAGTGCAGAAACATTGCAAATGCAGATGCCTACAAACAGGGCATGAGAGGGCAACGAATGGTTTGATGAGTACAAAAATAATGACAATCATTCGCTGTGGCAGAGCTCTCCAACCTTTTTTATCCTTAGAGCTACTTTGACGAAATCAAAGGGGCTGAGAGCTCCTCATGTCTGATATTACTGGTTACATTTACTCACATATCGTAACAAACTGATCTTCAAACCAAAACAGATGAATAAGATTATTTAATAACTCATCAAATATCAACATCCAAAAACATGTGAAACTCACATAACACAAAGGCAGTCATGATTCAGTCAGACCTGAACACAGACATGATAACACCACTGCAAATAAACCTCCATAAATCTGATTAAAAACCAGAGAAACAAGAATGTTTGTCTGTGTATCTGATTTAGTTGCATTTGGAGTAGATTTTACCGAGTGAAGTTATTTTGCTTAAAGTTCATACTAGACATCCATGGTTTGTACAGACTATTATCTCACAACCTTTGGGTGAGCTACTCTAGACAGAGGGTTAACCACTGGTAGCTCACCAGCTACTTGTTGGACACCCATGATTTAAAGCATAAGCAACGTTCTTGAGCTGTAACTTGTGACATGAGAGTCAGTAGCTCGGTAGTTCATCCCAGACCAGCTCCATGAGGTTCAGGTCTGGAGACTGTGCTGTTAGGGCTGGGCAACAAATATAATAAATAATTGAAATATTGCGCTATAGACAAGCCAATGGCAGTGGATAGTGAGCAACCATTGATGTTCATGCTTCTCCAACAGCACAGAAAAAAGCTCCTCTGTGATACTCACACAAGAAAGTACATTTAATTTTTTTAGCTTCAGCAACCAGAACACACTAACAGAGTGTGGATTTATGTAGGAAAGAGGTGGAAACAATGATTAGATGAGGTGCTGAAGCCTAAATCAATTTCTTCAGCCCTGGAAAAAGACTTGTTTTCTATTAAATTTACATGGTTTTTCAGTTTTTGATGACCTAAACTTTTTTTTTTTTTTAACTTTGGCAGTTTACCACTCACAGTGTTGTTGTATTGGGTTTTGGCACCAAGATAAACAAAGAAGATCTAGTCCAAAACTCACTCAAGATGAATATGAGACTAAAATGACTTACTCAATAATCTGAGATTTGTAGTGTTTGTATATTTCATCCTGTTGTAAAACGTAATACATCACAGTTTAATTGCTAAAAGAGTTTATAATCACGTCATTAAGCAATAAAAAAAAATCATGCTAAGATTTGGTAGCTGCTGAATGAGATTGTCACTCTGCCTAAACAGAACCGTGGGAAGTCAATACTAGAGCTGCTATGATCAGTGAGTGTTTTTAGCAGGGTAATGTGTAAAGTAAGATCATCAGACTCGGTTTTTCCTTACAGTCTTGCATGTTGTTATTTGTTTCTCCACTAGTCTTTCCAAAGGAGATCCCTTAGCTTTTCTACCAATCGTGAGCTTCACCCTCACCTCCTTCTCTCCACCTTTTACTGAGCAACTAATGGCAGCTGGACTGGAGCTGACTGGCAAAACTGACCTCCGATTCACTGACACTCTTTATAAGGTGCAGTAACACAAACATACAGTCTGTGTTTTCACAGGTGCATAAAGACCTTTGTTTGCAGCATTGCAAAATGTTGTCAGTTGTCTTAATCTACATTTGCCGTCTCCCTCTACAAAGCTCAGTGATTATTAAACTACTAGTGTACAGTGGATTTTTACTTTACTTCAGTTAATCTGCTAGCCTATAGTGGTCCAATCAGTTGTGAGTATGTCTGTGTTTTGT